TTTTTTAGTTTTTTTTTTTCCGTTTTTATCCCCGGGCGTAGTTTTCAAAAAGTATATGAAATATATTAATAATATTAACGTAAATATTTCAATAAACTTCTAATATTGCTCCAAACGCTCAAGAAAATATCGGAAGAAAGCATGTTGGAAGCAAGATTTAATTTTATCGTCATTTGGGCAACGAGGGAAGTAGTAATCGTGCGTAAAGAGTTCCTTATTAGATTAGAAGCTCATTAGGCCCTTCGATACGAATACCTGCGATACGAATCTTCGGAAGCGAGTTAACGGCGGGCGTTATTAGCGCGACAAGGTGAAACCCAGGGGCAGAAATGTCTATTGATTTTTCGAAGAAAACTCGGCATCCCTTCTCTTGGATCCGCCGCCGCTAACCTACATTCGAGTTATAGCGGCGGTACGAAGTCTGATAAAACGCGTCCGATAATGAGACTCGCGGCGTATCGCGCCGACAGTGACGCGCTGTTTTTTTTTTTTCTTCCATGAAAAACGAACTCGCCGATTTTTCTCGTTTGCGTCTACATTTTTCTTGCTCGCCTCCCTCTTTCTTTTCATCGAAAAAAGAAAATTAGATCAGCATGACGATCGAGCGCGCGCTCGCGCCACCGACGCTCATGGTACCGTGTTTTCGCCGATCGTTCGTATTTCGGTGGTTCCGACGTGGCGCCCTTTAAACGTTCCCGTTTTCGGGGGTGAACACGCCAGGATACCGAGCAACGGAGAGGGCGACTCGGTCGCAACCCCCCATTCGCACTCGCGCCGAGGGGGATCGATCCGCGTTCACTCTGCGCACCTACCCCTGCGGCAAAACCCAAATCCGAACCCCGCTCGAAGAGCAGGAGCAGCGCCGGCTGAAATCACCCCGCGTTTTTAGCCGGGGCGAATTTTCGACGCGGCGCCGTGCCGCGTCGGTTACGCGTGGTGATCTATACGAGTGCTCGCCCTTTTCATTAAGTAGGAATTGAAACGCATCGGGACCGATGTTATTTCGATGAGTTCAAATAGGTATGCGTAAATGATGTTCGTCCCCCCCCGTCTGACGATGGATACATAATGATTGCATCAGTTTTAATCTTCGTTTTTCGCCTGAATTTTCGCAGTAAATGCTGCGCAAAATTGTACATTACGGCGAATAAAAGAAGAATATGTAAATACAAATCGAAGATAATAAATTACATTCCGCTACAATCTTCCTTCATTGTAGAGCAAAATTATTCCCGCTGGTGCAATCTAACTCCATCGTACGGTATTGCAATAGCGCTATTAGTAAAATGATATTACGTTCTCTTGTGAGACCATGATAAAAAAAAAAAAAAATAGCAACGCAGCAGTAACTATAATATAGTTACATAATATGTCGAAATGCGATGTTTCAATTATTATAATTAAATCTAAAGCGTTGGAAGCGTTAAATTAAATCGATAGATTTGTTGATGCGGCAGAATTATTTTCTTTCTAGCATTGGTCAGGAAAATTAAATTAGATACTATCGACAGAATTCAGGGCAAGACGCGAGAGACATTTTGGTTCAGTTGACTTCGGGCAAACGTGTGTATACGTATGTATGTGTGTGTATTATAAATTTCTGCGCGGATAAACCGCGAGTTCCGCACACGCGCACTTCGGTCACTCGTCGAGAGTGCATCGAATGGTCCACCAACTGGCTCAAGTTCGTATATTCGAGGTGGAAAATTTACAATCGAGTTCGCGGGGAGTTAAAGATTCGCGGAAGGCTATGGTTCCGCAAGAGCGTACGATCGATACGGAAAAGTTCCTCGAAATCCTGAGTAAAGCTTCGCTCGCCTCGTGCTATTCCGCGTAATCGCGATCGTCAGATCGACCGGGTCTATTCGTCCCTGCGTAATTTCGTGCAATTCTTAAGAATGAAAGTCGTGATAGTGTAACATAAAGGACGAATGGCTTCACCGACTCTATATTCGTCGAAGAGTATATTATAAAAAATTCGATGCGACATATTTTAATTTAAATTAATTCGTTGAGCTGACAATTGTTGACAATATTTGCTCTTCTCGGAAGATTTAGAGTTAACTTTTCACATAATACAAAAAATCTTCCATTCTGTACAGTATCGAAACGAACGTAGCTTTGGGGGATGTTCGTCACGATCTTCGATGGGTAGGATATGCGTTCCCTCATAACTTGACCAAAAAAAAAGAGATCGATCGTGGAATATAATAATAATTCTTTCTTTGTAGTAGTTAATCGGTTTTTTTATTTACAATGTTTATACATCCGGGTCAATTTTGAAATGTTGGTGATGCAGCGGTATATATAGAGTGCCAAAATAATCCAATAAATAATTTTACCAATATAAGATCCAACAAAAGACCAAATAATACACGTATTATGTTCTTCTGTGCTACTCTCTATATATATATATAAGAAAATTTATATATATATAATCTTTTTAACAACAGAAATAAAATTAGAATAAAAACTGATGCAGCAGAACTGATACGATCTCTATTCTATAAAGATTATCACAGTTCGTGCACAAAAAAATTCAATATAATATTTAACGAAAAATATAATTTGTGTAATAAAAGATTTGATTTTTTTTTTACGCATCGAGTTACACGTGGGGTCCTGCGTGAACGAGTAATTAGGTTAAAGAATATCGAAACGAACATCCAATTTCGCGTGTTCACGGGACATTCGATCGTGGGGGATGGCGTAAACGAGAGAACAAGAGAGGACCAACAGGCGTGGGTGGGAGAGAGGGCAGAAAGTTGTCGACGTTCAAATGATTTTCAGGAATCGCGAACGAATCGAGGGCTTTGCACGCTCGGCTCGCGTGCATTTTCGAAATTCCGGCCGGGGAGAGAGCCATTTTACATACGGAATTAACGTTGCGCACACGTGGCTATATATGCATCCGCCGCGTATAACTATTCCAATCCAAACGAATCGAATAGCTCGAAAGTCCATTTATCGCAGCGTTCATCTCGATATGTGCGCTGCTCATGCATCATTGATGCATAAAAATGCACTGGACACGCATTCTCTACTCCGTGATATCGGCACCTCTTTTCCCCATGACATTTTAATAATATGAATTCGGAAATTAATGATTAGAGATGGGTATTTTATATGCGGCAAGTCCGATCTCGTTGTCATCTTGACGCTGGCAAATAATTCAATCAACAAATATAAGTGTGAACGCGATATATAATTCTGCATTAATTAATTAGTAAATTTTTTAATTGTCCATTTTAAAGAGAGTTAAATAATCGTCGCGTTAACAACATCTAATGTTGAACACAAATTATTTTTCAGAGAATACGCAAGTTGATAGCTATCTAAATTTATTCATGGCATTTACGA